ATTACAAGAAGTCATATGCTCTATATTATGAAAAGACCAAAAATGAAACATCATAATCCCCAAAATAGAACCTAATCTAGAACATAAGCAAAAGGGGAGGCTTCATCACCTCCCTAGATGAGGTTTAGTTACCCATGAGTGAGCTAGAAGAAGGAAGAAGCATGGATGAACAAGCCATTTTCGAGCTCCCTTCTTTAGGCTTCAAGAACACCTTTTTTTTGCTCTCTTCTCTCTCCTCTAATCTTGTAAGAAATGAAGGATAATGTAAATGTGTGGCCTCCCTTGCCTTATCTCCTCCAACAAAGCTCTCTCTCTCCTCCAAAAACATCCCCAACCGCCTCATAAAGAAATAAGTAGAAATGAGGAAACCAATGCACAAGTGGCTGCCAAACTGAGAATTCCCAAAGGCAATTCTGCCTGAATTTCGAGCACTCGAAGCAAGGCCTCGAGCACTCGAAATTGGAGCAGATTGCTCCATGCTTGCTTTGCTTTGCCCGGACCTACTTTGGTAAAACAGTTATAACTTTGTGCTCCAAACTCCGAATGACAAACCGTTTGAAGATTTGGAAAGCTAATTCAGAGTTCTAAAAACTTTATGTTTGGTAGAGATCCAATTCTCAAGTCTGGTTGGTCGAAATTGAAGAACAAGGCAGACTTTCATTGCTGCCAGGCATTTTTGAGCACCTCTAATAAGAAGATCATAACTCTCTGCTCCGAACTCTGAATGACAAACCACTTGAAGATTTGGAAAGCTGATTTAGAGCTCTAAATCTTTTATGTTATGAGGGAAGTCCAGTTCTCGAGTTTGGTAGGTCAAAATGGTGAACAAAGTTCGGGCTTCACTGCTGCCAGAATTTCAGAATTGGCACCTTGATATGTTCAAAACTCCACAAAGCATCATTTTTGCTTCCTTTTTGCAATTTAACCTGAAAATGTGCAGAAACATACAATTGGAGATAATCTATATAAAATACACAAATAAAGAACTTAACTAATGCAATTTAGGGCGCTTGAATATACAATATTTGGCGCTTATCAATATGAGTTTGAGTCTCAGGATCAGTGGTTAGGTATATCGCCAGGGATGTGTAACTAGATATAGTGTAGTTGTGTGCCCCGGTAGGTCTAGGTACTCATGCCCACTATATGTGTGTTTTGCGTGATGCCTACTATTTAAGTTGAGGCAACCCTATAGTCTAATGAGATTCCTTTAGTGTGTATTTATATATATACGGACTACTAGTTATTGTTGGATTGACTAGGATGTATACGTGTATCGAATCTCTGCTTGGACTGTAGTAGAGTAGAACTTGTTTGTAGGCCTGACCCACCATTATTTTTCAAGTGTTCGTTAGGAGTAGAGGTTGTTCGTGCTGAGCAGGGATCAGTCTACTTCACTCTTCTAATTTATCTACATAGGAGTTCCTTTATGTTTCAGTTTCCTGATATAGACAGTTATTACTGTCATTTGTTCAGTTGGGTTTTTCTAGGGGTCCACATAGTATGGATTCCCGAGTTGTATTAATGGAGGATTAATTGTATCAGAATGTTTTTATTTTTAATAAGAATTTATTCTGAGAAATTTGGATTATCCTTTTAGTTTCTTTTCAACATTTTTATTTATTCTTATTTGTCCTCTTGTATTCTGTGTTCATTTATTGTCGATTCGTTTTTGATATTCCTGGGCGTTCGGGCGTGGGCCTGGCCAACCTGCATTCGGAAATCTGGGGGTATCACAATATTTCACTATGAAAATAAAGAGATACAAGGCAAAGTGGCTTACACCCAAAACCTAATTACACCCAAACTCTCCATTCACTAACTGATAATTTTGGATGCTCAAACACCATGGGAGCAAAGCTATTTATAGCCAAAATATCATTACATAGTTTGCTGAACTTTGTGACCACGCATGGGTAGCTTATTGATTACACTCCTTGGCTGCCAAGAATTTCTAATGTAAGGGATGATGCAATATACTTGCTGATCACACAAATTTGTGGTCCCCAGCTGCAGTCTCAATTTGAGTCATATGTTCAACAAATCTCCACCTCGGTGAAAATTCAAATGAGCAACTATATCTCTACAAAACAACCTGTCTTCTCCACAAAACAAATTAATTAAAAATTTTAGTTAAGTTTGAGTCATCCTCAAACTTAACCATCGGGCTCTTATTCTTCAACCTATGCTGTCTTGCACAGCCAGAAGTATACCTCTAGTATTTCTGTCAAACTGATCTAAGCGCTTATCAAAAACACCCTCAGAAATTCCAAGTTTGACATCTCATTCAGCAACCTTCTCCAACCACCCAAAAACCACCAGCTGGTAATGAAAAGTCATCTTCTCACCCTTGTGGAGAATATGACGTCCTTGAATTTTCCTCGCATCTCTATTGTGACCAACTACTTGCCTTCCACGCATCTTAAGGGCACTCGAATGGACTATCTCATTGCCACCAAGATTATTGCAAGTCAATATCACACCTGTCCTCATGGGTCTGCCTTCCTGTAAGGATTGCTACAATTTCGGTTACCATCTGAAAACGGATTTCGTTCTCCCACCACATTGTGTAGTCCCCTCACAACCCTTTTGAGAACTAGGATCGTAACTCCTCTTTCTAACTCTTCTTTTGTCAAGACCTGAACTCAAATTTTTGCTAACTGTAGAAGACCCTGTAGAAGCTCCACCTGTTACTGTATTCCCTTAGAGAAGATACAAAATTTTCACCTTGATGCCCTGTATCACTACAAAAGAATCTATCACGACCATCATCGCTTCACCCTCTGTTATAACCTTATAACCTTTGGAGTCTAGCACACCTACTGAAATAAGATTCATCTTCAGATCCGGTATATGTCACACATTTGACAATGTTTTCACCAACCCATTGTGCGTCTTGATCTTGACTATTCCAATTCCCAAAATTTTGAAAGTTTTCCTGTTCGCCATCAAAATCGGACCACCTTTCACCTCTTCATAGGAAGAAAGAATCCTTACCGAGACACATATAAACGGAACAACCAGAATTAAGAATCCAACTGTCATTAAATGACATGCCTAAACACAAGGTTGTCATGAGAACATATTCGTCACTTTTTGAATCAATCGTTGTAGCAGTTGACACAGAAGCTGCTTTTTAAACCTTTTCTTTGCGATTCTCATTCTTTGCCTTTAGTTTGGGACAGTGTTCGATGATGTGCCCTATCTCATGACAGTAGTAACATTCGAAATTTTTATGAGACCTAGATTTACCCTTACTACCAGAACTCTTTCTCTCACTTTTGCCTCTTACAAATAGACCTTCGGCTTGTTAATCTCCAATATTCCCAGACACCTTTTTCCTCAACTCCTGAGAGTTCAATGAGGATTTAATATCCTCCATACTAATAGTGTCTTTTCCTTAAAGCAATGTAGTTACAAAATGCTCATAGAAAGGAGGCAAAGAACACAACAAAATATGGGCTTGATCCTCGTCATCAATTTTAATATCAGTATTTTTCAAATCCATAATAATAGAATTGAAATTATCAATATGCTCCTTAAGAGGCATACCTTCCTTCATACGAAGGGTGTAGAGTCTATGTTTCAGGTAAAGTCTGTTGGTAAGAGATTCGTCATATACAGACTCTTTAATTCAACCACAACTTTGCCGCCGTGTCTTCATTAATAACTTCATGCAGCACATCGGCTAGATTCAGGAGAATCGTACTGCGTGCCTTTTCATTGACCTCATCCTTGTTTTCATTGGACATAGTTTCTGGCAACTTGTCCTTCTCGAATAGCACCTTCTTTAGACCTTGCTACGTCAGCAGGGCCTACATCTTAATACGCCAAAGACTGAAGATAATCTTTCCATCAAATTTCTCAATTTCGTATCTAGTCGACATATAAAAAAACTCCCCAAAAAATTTCTCGGTAAATAGTAGCGTATTTGTGAATAATACCCGAATAGTATATGTGAACAGTACCATACTTATGAACAGTATCTGTACACAATACACGAACCCGAGCTCTGATACTAGTTTGTTATGAAAAAGGATTGAATAGGAGTTTATGATAACAAGAGAAAAATAATGACAAGAAAAATAAAATGACACACATACAAACGAGATAAGGATTTACATAGTTCGACTATGCCTACGTCCACATAGAAAAAACAAAACAATATTTCACTATGGGAATAAAGATATACAAGGCAAAGTGGCTCACACCCAAAACCTAAGTACACCCAAACTCTTCACTCACTAACTGATATTACAGACACACAACTGAATTGGTGATTTTGGATGCTCAAACACCATGGGAGCAAGGCTATTTATAGCCAAAATATCATTACGCAGTTTGCTGAACTTGGTGACCACGCATGGGTAGCTTACTAACTACACTCCTTGGCTGCCAAGAATTTCTGATGTAAGGGATGATGCAATATACTTGCTGATCACACAAATTTGTTGTCCCCAACTGCAGCCTCAATTTGAGTCATATGTTCAACAATAATAAAAAGGATACGCTTGCCATTTAAAGAGTGAAAAATTTTCTCTACTGTGTTTCTTAAAAGAAACTCTTTTTAACCAAACACTACACGAAACAATTTCAAAGCCGAAAAAGCCAAAAGTAGCGTTTGAAAAACCAATCCAAACATGCCCTTATTATTGGTAGGCTTGCTTGCTTTCGATGCTTACTCACCAACTTGAAGTTGGATTGAGAGAAATTTTTAGATAATCTCGGGACCATTGGTCTAGACCAATTACTACTAGACACACCTTTTATACAATTACTTACGTGTCCGATAGTGATTGGCCTGAAACCATGTAATACTTTCTCGTTTGATGGTCCAAAACATTAAGCACAATTGGAGCTCGACCCGTTTAGGTTCATAACATTGTCAATTAAGTTGGCCGTGCCAGATTTAATTCGAGAGAGAACATGTACAGTGAGAGAGTGTGGATAAATAAGATACACAAACATAGATAGTTGAAATGAAGAATAGAGAAATACCCTAGTGTCAATTCCTTTTCTTTCTTCAAATTGAATATCACAATTACATATAATGAATAATATATATATATCAAAGATTATTCCAAACTTACAAAAGCTTACACACTTCCAACTTCATATATTTCTACGCTAAATCTATTTGAATTAGTGAGGCTTAAAGAAGCTCACTTCAATACCAGTGTCAATCACAACATAAACTCCAGCTGCAATTAGTATCCCACTTAGGCCCATTCCCAATAGACCCAAGCTCCAATTCAGCCACCACACTGGACTATATTGCTTAGGCTTCTTGAGCTTAAGCCACATGAAACAGGGATAAGCTAGAGTAACCGGCAAAGCGATCCCTCCGATAAGTCCGGCAAGGCTTCCCAAGAAGGGGATTGCCACTGCAACAAAGAAGCACCCGTATCCAAACATAGCTCGCATAATTGCTCGGAGCCACCACGAGCACGGCTTCTTAAACCTAGTCGTGTATTTGGACTCCATGTCGTCGAACATTGGCATGCCGTATATTTGGAACGAGCTCAACGCGTTAATTATGACGAATAAGCTCGTTAGTCCTAAGATAAACTTAGAGGCATCTTCACCGTGGAACGCGTACAATGCTGTTAGCATACCTCCTTCTTTCGGGATCTGTCAATTGTAAAGCAAATTTTGTTTAGTAACATATTTTTAATTTTATTGTAACAAAAGCTTATAACACATGTAAATTAGAGTACTTTGATTGTTAGAATGGTACTTACCAAGTGACCATATGCCCAATAACCACCTATAGCAAGAGGGAATAAACACAAAGCTATTAGGGCATATGAGAACTTGACACCCCTCCACATTGGCACACGCGATGGAAACTTTTCACTTGATGGCATGGTCGCCTACAGTTAAAAAAAAAAAAAAAAAAAAAAAAATTGAGATTATAATAATATTTAGTAATTCAATTCAATACTTAACGCTAAAAACAAGTCTAAAATAAGTTGTGAAATTATAACTAGTTCTTAATATTTTTAGTATAAAGACCGACCCATGGTCAAAAGAATACTGCTAAAGACGAGGCCAAATTCGAAATGTGTTCATGTATGTACACAAGTATAATATCATACAATTGGTCAACAGTCAACGTTCAACCTGACACTCTTTTCTTTCTTCAAGATAAATATTTCTTACTATAATTGCAATCAAGTACCGTGCCAGCCTAGACTTTGGCCACTTTCAAAGTCCTTGCACCGTCACGAATGAAAAAAAAAACATACTTATATATATTAATTAACTACAACATGTGTGTACTTTAGTATATTTAATTTATGGAATCTATATACAAATCAGACCATCCAAATAAATTATATATAATTTACAGATTAATTAATATTTATTATTCAAAACACGTCATGCCATGTTCCATGATAATATTTGGCCAATAAAATAAAATAAAAAAATAAACTAGCCATAAATGAAAGTAAACAGTTGGTGAGAAGTTATTATTGGTTTGTATACCTGTATTTCAAGAATGAGATTGTGGCCTCTGAAAGCAAAAGCAATGATCCCAAGTGCGTTCAGGAGATCAAAAACCCTAACAATCTGACTGCTGCCTCTCACTGGATTGTATGACACGTTCGGAAGCCTCCCCATGGCCACCGACACCGCCCACATGAGCGTGCAGTATCCGACGGCGGTGATGGCTCCGACCAGCGACACGCCGGCGATGGAGTTGAGATTGGGCAGCTGAGACAGGAGCACGGCACCGCATGTGAACACCAGGTACCACTCCGCAGATGTTAATGTGCTGGCCGTGCATGTGCCCCCACAAACAAGATTAAAGAACAACTTGGACGTTGAACCTCCGATGATGATCAGAGCCACACATGTACCTCCTGCTAGATACATGATCGGAAACAGGGCCAGAAAATTGGCCGTCCTCTCACCTGTCAATTCAAAATAATCATTATAGAACACATAACACTGAGATATAGTTAATCGAAAATATTTTATTTTCGGAACAAGAAATATTTTATTTTCGGAACAAGAAAGAGTTTTAGAGCTAGGCTTACCAAAAGTTGCACTTGCTAGTTGCATGTATCGGCTGTAACGTATGCCGGTTTCCTGTGATTCATGAAGTTGTACCAGCAAGTATAGAGTGTAGAGTTGCCATATGAATGCTAGTGTCAAACATATTATTCCCCATGTCCTGCAAAATCATACATCAAAAAATATTTTCAATTTTAGCAATTAATACTCCGAAAATTGAATTAAAACTTAATTTCTCGGGTTATTCTCAGGTTTTGAGAACATTCACTATTGACTCCGAGAACTGAGTTGAGCAAAATATGATTTCTTACCACCCAAGAATGGTGAAGGCGACGGGGAGAACAAGGGCTTGGATTCCAATCCCAGAACAGAGAGTATGAAAGGCGGCGTAGTAGGCGTTTCCGTTTCGTGACTCGGTGATGGGAAGCCAAGCATCCTGTGGGTCGAGTTTGGTAAGATGGAGAGCCTTCCTGAGCGGACTCCCCAACGGAGTAATGAACCGCGGTGTCCGGATCAAGGGCGTCCTCCTGGGTGTTTGGGTCTTGGGTGTTTTGGACGGAACAATCTGTGTGTGCTCGTCAGTGGCGAGGAGCGGTGACCGTGATAGAGACGGGGAGTGGAACTGCGACGGAGGAGCCGATATAGGTGGCGGCGGTGTCACCGACGCAGGTCTCGGCGTTATCGGGGCTGATCGGATGTCATCAACGTCACCCATGTTGTAGCTCTCTGGCCTCTTCCAACTTCCCTAGTCTTTTTTAGTTTTTTCTCGACTCTACTCCCCTCTATTGTCCACACAAGTCACTCTTTGGGAACTTGTTATTTATAACCTTTCAAAAAATACTTGTTATTTATAGATGTTGCACTCAAAAGTGGTGTGGAAGTGAATTATGTAAGGAATGGTTTGTGAGGCCTTTAGAGATGGTGTGTATGCTGACCAAAAGTGTTGGTAGGCGTTTTCTGACTATTGGTAGGTGATGGAATAGAATAGTTATAAATGTATTGAAAAAACAAGATTGGCTGCTAATATTGTTTTTATAATCTTTTGAACATTTGTGGAATTTTAAGCCCACTTTCGAAGACTTAAAAGGAAGTCCTTCTAGTAACGTTCAAACTAAAAAAAAAAAAACCACAAGTTGGCCCCATTATGGCCTTTATTGCATTAATGGTTGACTTAGACCTATCACCTGTGAGCTTAGCCATTGTAACTTGTGAGGGAAGATAAATATTGCTAAGTTAACCAAATGTTGTTCTTCATTTTGTGTCACCCATGGTGTGACATAGTCACTAATATTCCAATGTTTTGTGAGCTATATCTCAGGACATAATTGTAAAAGATCTGGCAAGTGTGGGTAGTGATTCAGAAATCAAAAATACGGTTTGGTTCGGTCATGTGCACTAATGATTCAGTTTCCATTATATAAAAAAATAGTCAAAATTATAAAATCTCCTTATATTTTTAAAATTGTGCATAAAATCTTTAATAGAATTTCATATATATATATATATATATATATATATATATATATATATATTCCTGAATTAAAAAAAAAAAAGTAATTAAATTATCCCCATATCCGTGACTGACCCTCTTAATTTAGTTGTGAAATAACAAAATTGACCATGTTATTCAATGTTAAATTAAAATGTTGAAAATTATTATTTTAAAATTACAAAAATAATATAGGACCATTAAATAATGTTAAATTACAAAATTATTATTTAATATTAAATTATAAAATTAACCTTGCTATTTTAAAATTACAAAAACAATTTTAAAAAAATTATTATCAACATTTTAATTTTAAATTAAATAGCAATGTCAATTTGGTCATTTCACAATCAAGTTAACGAGTCGGTCACGAATATTGGGGCAACTTAATAAAGAATTTTACTTTTAAGAGTTTTTTAATTTTACTAGAGATTTTATGTATAATTTTGAAAATATAAGGGACTTTTGTAATTCTAATCCAAAAAAATATATATATGAAATTGTATGTTAAGATTGATTTTTTTTTTAACTTGTCAAACAAAGATGAGTAGCACAAATCAAAACATACAATCCTTACTTGCTAGAAGAAGAATATCAGGTAGAATATGGGCAAGAGCAACATCCTTAGGCAGAGGACTTCGGGAAAGCACTACAAGAGCATTGACCACCTCATTGTCATGCCTATGGACATGGCTAAGACAAGATGAGGCGAAACGCCGAAGCACCAGTTGAATATCAAAGGAAATGGCTTTAATGTCAACTAGCCCTGGATCAACGACAAAAATAGCTTTAACCACATCCAAAGAATCTGATTCAAACCAAACATGAGCAAAATGGAAAGATAACGCCCATAAGACTACTTTACGAAGAAATATAGCCTCGGCCGAAGTCGCACTAGATGCCGGGAACGAACTAAAAACCATAGCCTGCAGAATAGTGCCCGACGAATCTCGAAATACAGCTCCACCTCCCTCCACGTGGGAAGATTGAGAAAATGACGCATCCACATTACATTTAACAATACCTGGAGGAGAAGGCAGCCATCTTGACAATGAAGATGAGAAACGCGGACGAGAGTTGGAGGTAAGCTGACCTCGTGACAGACGCAAATATGAAAAGTCCAAGACCTCCTTGAATTCCCAAAAAGATGAACATGTCAAACTAACAATCTTCTGAGCATCCTAGAGCTCCCCATTAAAAACGAGTTTGTTTCTAGCATTTCAAATAAACCAGCAACAGAAAGCAACAAACCCCAATACATCTGATCCCCCTTCCTTAGGCCCCCATTGTTGAACCAAATGCAACTACCAATCCTTAAAAGAGGAAGGGTGAAGTCAAACTGAAGCGGGGAGAACTTCCAAACCTGCACGGAATGCGAATAGTGGAAAAACAAATGTTCAATAGATTCCTCTGCTATACCACAACGGGGGCACAAAACATCAACATCAAGACCATGAACGCTTAAGCGTTCACGGACTGGAATAACAAGCCACAAGAAATGTTGTATTTTTGGCGTAGTCCTACAAGACCAAAGACTGTCCCAAAAGGACTTACTGCCAGAATGTGAAACAGATGCCACCAAAGATCGGTCTCCACGGCCCAAAATACCATAAGCTAATTCATATGTTGATTTCACAGAAAACATACCATTGGATTCCAAGTCCCAACCCAGATTATCCGCTTTAAAAAATACACCAAAGCTCCATTTAAGTATAACATCAATAGTGGCAATCGAAAATAAGCTTCAAAGCAAATCCACATTCCATCATTGGACTGAAGGATCAAGCAACTCAGCCACAAATTAGGGAACCAAAGAATGTAGTGGCCTTGGAAGCGAAAAAAAGTGACCAGGCCGGAACCCAACGATCCATCCAAATATGAATAGATTGTTCGTTTCCCACGATCCATCAAGAGCTGGCGGCAATAAGAGATTGAGTTGACCAGATACTCCTCCAGGCCAGGAAGGATTGGATCCCAATTTGGCTTCCAAAAAGGATCAATGCTGAAAATATTTATCTTTAAATAATTTAAACGCCATACCTTGCTGAAGAACTTGAAAGTTCCACCTATGTTTAGCCAATAAAGCCGCATTAAACGCTTCGAAACTACGAAAGCCAAAGCCCCCATCCTCTTTATGCTCACATAAGGACTCCCATGTAACCCAGTTAATACTTGGAGAAGCTCTCGGCTTACACCACCAGAATCTACGTACGTGCCTCAGAAGGGATAAACATAGTTTACGTGTCAACTTGAAGCAAGACATCACATATGTTGGTAAAGCTCCCAAAACTGCTTTGATTAAAATATCCTTTCTAGCTGGAGACAGTAAAAGAGACTTCCAGGAGGCTAAATGATTAGAAACCCACTGAACAATATAGTGAAAAACGTCCCATTTTGAACGGCCAATAATTGCCGGCATACTTAAATACTTAGCACATAATTCTTCCTTGTGAATCCCCAACACTTGACATAAGCTGGACTTGACCTCCGCAGAGGTATTTTTGGAGAAGAAAATTGACGATTTAGAAATACTGATCTGTTGCCCAGAGGCTTTTTCAAACCGATTGAGAAAATTCTAAACGAATTGGATTTCTGAAGTAGAAGCCTTGAAAAAATTAGTTGAATCATCCGCAAAAAGTAAGTGTGAGATAATTGGAGCCTGTGGGCAGATGCGAATACCCAAGAGAATTTTATGTTAAATTGTCACCTACATAGAAAGAGAAAGAGCTTTTGCACACAAAATAAATAAATATGGGGATAAGGGATCTCCCTAGCGTAAGTTGCGGGTAGGTAAAAACATCTCCATAGAGCTACCATTAATAACCGAAGAGAAAGATGCCGTAGAGATGCAAGCATGTATAATTTTGATTCAATGAGTATGAAAACCCAATTTAGCAAGAATTGTTAACAAAAAAGATCATTCAATGCGATCGTAAACCTTACTTGTGTCAAGCTTCAATGCAAGAAATGCATGTTTGTCTTTCTGTTTATTTTTAAGATAATGCAGCATTTCATGGGAAATAAAAAGATTCATTCCGTTTAAGAGAAAATTTTAAAGTACTAATATAAACCAAACTAGAATATTTATACTTGTGTACCTTGCGGCCCCGCACTAAATGTTCATAATTCATAATTGTGTGTATATGCATTAAGTAATTAGTTGGTTAACTTTTTTGCACGTTCAGATTCAATCAATATTTTATATATAACCATCTTTGTAACATTGACCTCATTCATATATAAATAAGTTAATAAAATAACATTCTACCTTTGGTGGCGTATTATTTTACTACCATGTTATTAATTAGTAGATCTGAGAAATAAGAAATATACTCTTGACAGGGGACTGAAGGTGACATTATACAGATCAAGGAAACGAAAACAAAAATAATCTCTCTTAGAAATAACTCTTGACAGGGGACTGAAGGTGACATTGTGACCTACAGATGAAGAAGGAATCAAAAACAAAAATAGCCTCACTCTAAAGGTGAAAGTAAGGTTGCATACATTTTATCATTTTCTCATCATCTCTATTATTTTTATTCTTGACAGGGAACTAAAACTATTGGTTTAAATAAGATTTGATTTAAGTTAAAGTAAGTATCATTAAACTAATTAAGTATTTTAATAGGAGTAATTAAATTCAATCAGTATAACTGAATTGATGATCTTATAAGGTTTGACTTAGATAGGTCCATCAACTCGGTTTGGTTCCAATTTTGTTAGAATTGTTATTATCGTTTTGATTCTATTTCACTTTTTAAACTGAATCAAATCAGACGGTGTGCTATCAAATATGTGTTTTAAATTAAATTCACAATATTCTTTATTACATTCCAATTTCTTCCCGCTACCTCTTAAGGAAAATCTTGAATTAGATCCCAAATTGACAGATTAGTGTAAGCTTATCCATGGAGTTATGCACTCTTCAAATAAGAATCCATTTTATAAAATATTCTAGCTTTCGTGCTTTGGTGGGCCTTCGAGATCCTTTCGATGACCTATGTTGTGTTGAAGAGATATTTATATAATTCAATTGATCGCGTAAAACCTGCGGTGGCAACCGACCTGGAAAAAGTATACAAAAAAACAATATATATATATATATATATATATATATATATATATATATATATATAAAATAATTAATAATTTACTCTCCAACCAACAAAGTAATGTGATAATTTATCTTAAATAACGTATTTACATATGTTCACACGTGACTTTAGAATTCCCAATAAATTCAGTAAAGAAGATGAATGAATTTAAGTTCATTCATAAAGAATAATGTGAAACCTATTTATTAGTGTGATCTGTACATGATTTTAATCAAAGCTCATTAACTTGGATATACTATGTATCTTCTAAAGTCGTGAACTTCGAAAATGACACATTTATGGTAAACATTCTAGAGAGGTCTATATAATGACCACTGATAAGAATAAGGACAATGGATAGGATTTTTTTTTTCAAACTTAAACTACCAGCAATCTTTTATGATTTTTATCTTCCCTATTTTCAGATTTGAACAATTGT